GAAGGGGGACAGGCGGGAATAATCGAAGGACACGAGGGAAAAAAGGGAACAAAGCGGGGACACACGGGACAGGTGGGACAAGAGGGATCTTTCTGAAAACATTAATTTAATTTCAATGTATAAGCGTGTTCAACACGCGTGGACACGAAATTCCGATATTATAGTTTACGGGAAAACAACGCGCTGAGACACACTACCGGAAAAACAAAATAAATTTGATAACAACTCAACTGAAACACTGAATAGTTTTATTCAAAATCTTTTTCAATTAAACATTTACATTTCAACATCAACATTGTCGGGTATTTCAATATTTTGAAATAGTTTATTGAGCATAAACTTTCGTTTGTGAATAGCTGCCTCCATTGCCTCTTCCCATTGAAACCCATCCACATCCATTAAATCTTGCTTTGTTTTCATAATTTGGCGAAAAATGTAGTTTTTCCTTAAATCATGTATCCACTTAAGATACTCAAACAGTACTTTACGAAACTCTTTTCTGTATGTTGGGAGTAAATCATTTTCTGCTTTAGCTTCAGCAACCTCGTGACTCTCCCCTTCTTGCTCATAATGACGAACTAGTGTTTCAAATTTGTTTTTGTGACGCTCTCTTGCTTCATCTTGAATTCGTTCCCAATTGCCGCTGTCATCGTCATCGTCTTCGTCACTGCTCACTTGCGAGGAGTCAGATTCATCTGATCCTTGAGAATCAGACATGCTGTCACTTTCATCATCGGTCGAAGATTGATTTGTGACGTGACTGGCTTCTGAATTCAACTGTTCATCTCCAGAATAAGACATGATGTATTGCTGTATAATAGAAGTCTAGTTGTTCTTTCACCTTTAGCAGTCTTGCTTAAAATGTGTGTGAGATTAGCAGTTGTCCCCCTTTTATAGCATTATAATAGCAGGCTAGGTTAAATTTTATGAATATTTTCCGTAAAAGGTATCCAACGTTTACGTAATGGTTTTGATATTCTATACTTTCGAAGTTTTGCTTGTTGTAAGTAAGGCTTGCGTTCTTCTGGTGAAAGTTGGTGGACTTGACTTAAAWGATTTGATAATTTTACTAATGCAATCGCTCCGCAGCCAGGTAAGGGACAATCCTTACGGTACCGTGACATGATATGGTATGTTTCTGACTGCAAAGGAGAAAATTATGTAGAAAAGTGATAGTAGATGAGACTAATCGGATTCTTTACGTAAACACGAGGTTTCTGTAATCTATCGGATTACGTCCCTGGACAACAAGTTGAAACTTGCCCTCATTCCTATAATCGGATTATCGGTCCAAGAATGTGGACCGTACCACCCCTCCCCCCCAAATGACGCTACATAGGCAGGGTAAACTACTTGTAAGCTATTCATCTCAGCTAACCGAACTCTCGATTTGAGGGAAAATCCCCCTCAGGACATTGTGATTCCGGTGAGTTTCGTCGACTTCTCATGTTTAGCCGTCATACTAAACTAGCTTGTTGTTCGCATTTTAAAACCTTATAGCTAACATAACGCCCATAGACTTGCACTAACTTCGCTTCACTTTCACCATTCTCATTTAATCGGTAAATTTAACTTGAGCTCGCTCTTTCACAGTTTGAATTTCATATGCGCCATGGCGTTGCGTGACAGAGGACAGGTGCTATAGGTGTCTACCGGTGCGCGAACTCCGACTAAATTATGGAAAAGGTATCTTACTCACGTGACAATTTCATTTTTTTAAAGAGCTACTTGCATGAAAATGGCCTTATTTCAAAACTTCAAGCAATACAAATATATGACTCATTTATATCTATTAATCTATTATATCTATTATCCCACATCAGAGAAATTTTGATTCAAAAGATGGAAGAACAAAAGAATTGAGTAAATGACGTCATCTACTCCAACATTTTTTGCCCAAATTATTAAGGATTTGTATCAATATCTTCTTGAAATCTGTTGCTTCATGATTATTAGACCCATTTTATGGATAGGTCTATTTGATTTCCAAGTCTTTTCTAATGTTTCGCAATTTTCGTCCAAGTAGCCCTTTAAAGCAAATGTTGAAATTGCTCCTGGAGCAAATCGATAAGAACTCCAGAAGTTTTTCGCGACAAAAGATACTCTGTTTTCCAAAATAACAGCCACGAGTGAGGCATCCTACAGTTCAACACCTTCCAAAATAAAATGAACTTTTCCAAAATGGTATTTTCAGAATAATATCGACTTTTTTGCTTACAATTTCGGTACTCTCAGTCAAAAATGTGTAAATTATCTGTGACTGATGACACATCCAGTAAAAACAAGCACTATATATATTAAAATAGATGCAGTTTATAAATACGTTTTTTATTTATTTATTTTTTTTTTGAGTAAGGGCAAAATGAATAAAATGTATATACTTCAAAATATGTGACGATGACTTGGCACGCAATGCCTCGAATTCCAAGCGATGCAGTTGAATCATCAATCTTTTTGAAGTATTGTTGAAATATTCGGTGGAATCCAACAAAAATGTGCCTTTTAATAAATAGTGCAGTCGAAACATTTGTGATTCTTATGAAAAATCCTATTTTGGAAAAGTTCATTGTATTTTGGAATTTTTGCCTTCTCTGTAAAATAATCTGTTTTATTTACTTTAATCAACACACTATCTATAACCCAAAACAAGACAAACGCAGCACTGCAGTATAGGGGGCCGAAATATCATTGATTTTAAAGCAATATAAAAGGGTTGTCGTCAATATCCAAATATAAAGTATAACAAGAGCCAAAATGGCTTCTCGCTCTGGCCATTTGAGTGCAAAGATAGCAATGTTTTTGAAATCAAAGGCGAAAACTCTGCCAAAATTGCCCAGGACAGCCATGACCTTACTTGTAAACATACACAATCATGCAAAAATACTTTGGATATAGCTTAAGCAGGGGCAGCGGAGGCAAAATTGACTTGGGTTGGGACAATCATAGACTTATAGTGATACAAGACTTATAGACTTATATAGACGGTGTTAGCTCGGTGTTAGTGGACATTCGCTCTTAAAACACGGATGGAGACAGATGTAGTTTAGCCAAAAGTGAGCTATTAGGTAAGCTGTAGGGAGAAATAGCGCCCTTACCTTGAATGAACTTTCCACATAAAAGCCTCCAACAAAATGGCGTCAAATTCAACCAGGGCGAAGGACTAATTCCATGTGCTTTTGACGACTGACCTCCGAATAATGCACGAAGGCGTAGTGGGAAAGCTAATTAGTTTTCGGGCTATTGTATTAAGACAAAAATATGCAAATGTTCCAAACACGAGGAACTATCGACTGATTGTTCTTGTTTTCCGTTGGATATTGCTTGTCTCCGAGAGCCTTCCGGCCCGTTTGTGGTAATCCGAAGTGCGGGCCAGAGCAATTACGAGAGTCGCTTTAGCGCGAATGATTGTTCAAACCAATCAAGGAACAATAGTCTTGTAGTCGAATTTGAGATACACTAGGTTAGGAATGGGGCACAGAGGGGACGTAGCCGCCCGAAGATTTGAACAAATTCAATAAATGTTTCAGAGGAAAAATAGAAATCATACGATTTTTCAATCCTTTGAATATGCCAACGGCTTTTTTCTTGAGCTGACCGAGTCACAGGGAAAATTCCTTGCGCAAACTGTAAACAAATGAATAATACTCATAACAGATATGCCACATTATTCATCATAAGTCATGTACAAAAATATACCATTCAGCTGCCACATATGCACGATAGGCGAGCAGATGCCTAACTGTGGAATATGAAGGGAAATTCCCCTAGACATCACAGTGTGGTATGAGAGCCAGTTTAACCGGTTAACTGTTTATAAAAGTCGGGGGAAGATGACAGTTGTCATACGAAGTAAAGCATCGTTAATTTAAAAGCATGGAGTGGGACCCAGGGTAGGCACAAAAATGGTAAGAGATAAGCGATTTGTCAAAAATTCAACCTTTAACGTAATTATTGATTCAGCATCGATTCGATTCAGTATGGTATCATTGATTAATATCCCACGAACATGACAAAATTTGAATTAATGTTACCAACTAACAGCGAGTGAAATTTGTTTCTTTTTAAACTCGCTCGCACCGCTCGTCCGTATAGTTCTGAATATAGTTCTGATTTTTACATAGTTGAATGAATTTAATGATTAAAACTCTATTGTTGGTGAATTCGAAACTTTAATCTGATGTCGCGATGGCCAACACCAGCCAATATTCAAACAGTCATCCTAAAACTAAATTGTTCGCCTTTCTGTGGGCACAAAATCCACCGATTTCAAATTTCAAACCTTAGTCATACAAATTGTGTCAGCATTTTATGTTTGAACAAGATCCACTTCGTGGAACATACCGTGTCCAGGTTACGTAAAGTGTTTAGAATTTCCTGTGTATAAATATATTTTTTTACAGCGCCATGGTCAATTTGATATATTCTGCCATTCTTTTCACATCATGGCTTCTGAATATTTTTATCATTGCAGCGAAAATTTGGCGTTGAGATTGCATTCGCATTATCCTCAGAGAATTTATAAGATGAAAGGTCGCTTTGCTTTGCATTTTAGAAAGAAAAAAACGAAAAAGTATATATCTTAAAGTAAAAAAAGAAAAATAATGAATTGTTTAGAAGCTGCTCGAGTCGAGAATGGAAGCCGCGATCGTCAGTTTAACGCCACTATTTCGAGTATGATCTTGCGTGTAAAATATGTAAAACAAATACCTACAAGAAAAAATAAACATGACTAGAATAAGTATATTTTAGTAAAAAAAAGAAAGAATGAAATAAAAGAGTTGTTTAGAAGGGATCGAGTCGAGAATCGGACCCGCGATCATATTAGTTTGATGCTATTCGAGTATAATAGTCTGTGTAAAATCAAAACAACGGCTCAAACGAATATCTACAGAAAAAAATCAAAATGACCATGACGACTTCATTTCAGTTAAAAAGAAAGAGAACCTGGGAACTGCGATCCTGTTTATTTTTAAGCGAGATATATCTATGCGATGTTAAATCTGAGACATATTTGGCGTTGATTACATCTGTCGACGTGGACCGGAAGTCGATTTTCAAACTTTCGTAAATTTCGTCGAAATGAAAAATCGCTGGACACTTTAAACTCGATTTTTTGAAAGGGTATCTTTGGACAAAGTATGAGGAATTTGAAAATTTCGCCGTTGTCCAGCCATTCTCGGTCCTTACTGACATTGACTCTTAAAAAGCTAAAAAAGAGTTTTATATGAAATACATCGCTAAAAGATTTCTCCTTTTCCATGACTTCAATTTAGTTTCTTTGCTCGCTTTTTTAAAGCTAAAATGTATTTTTGCTTGGACGATTCTCTTTTAACGTGTCCAGAAGCTATGGAGGTGAAATAGGGACTTTTCCCTTATCAATATTCATATCTATTGGGATGGAGGGGTTGGAATAGGG